GTGTCTGTATAGCTTTGACTTTTTGTACATGTATAACATCTACAAACACTGAAGACAATGAGTCACGTGTCTCTATAGATTGGACTTTTTGTACATGATTAACATCTACATACACTGAAGACAATGAGTAACGTGTCTGTAAAGCTTGGACTTTTTGTACATGATTAAGATCTACATACACTGAAGACAATGAGTCACGTGTCTGTATATTTTGGACTTGATGAACATGTATAACATCCACTTACAGTGAAGACAAAGACTCACATGTCTGTAAAGCTTGGACTTTTTTGTACATGTATAACATCTACATACACTGCAGACAGAGTCACGTGTCTGTATATTTTGGACATTTTGTACATGATTAACATCTACATACACTGCAGACAAAGAGTCACGTGTCTGTAAAGCTTGGACCTTTTGTACATGATTAACATCTACATACACTGAAGACAGAGAGTCACGTGTCTGTATATCTTGGACTTTTTGTACATGTATAACATCCACATACACTGCAGACAGAGAGTCACGTGTCTGTAAAGCTTCGACTTTTTGTACATGTATAACATCTACATACACTGCAGACAGAGAGTCACGTGTCTTTATATTTTGGACTTTTTGTACATGTATAACATCTACATACACTGCAGACAGAGAGTCACGTGCCTGTATATTTTCGACTTTATGTACATGTATAACATCCACATACACCGAAGACAATGAGTCACGTGTCTGTAAAGCTCCGACTTTTGTACATGTTTAGCATCTACATACACCGAAGACAATGAGTCACGTGTCTGTAAAGCTTGGACTTCATGTACATGTCTAACATCTACATACACTGCAGACAGAGAGTCACGTGTCTGTATAGCTTGGACTTTTTGTACATGTATAACATCTACATACACTGCAGACAGAGAGTCACGTGTCTGTATAGCTTGAACTTTTTACACATGTATAACATCTAAATACACTGAAGACAAAGAGTCACGTGTCTGTATAGCTTTGACTTTTTGTACATGTATAATATCTACAAACACAGAAGACAATGAGCCACGTGTCTGTATGGATTGGACTTTTTGTACATGATTAACATCTAAATACACAGAAGACAATGAGTCACGTTTCTGTATAGATTGGACTTCTTGTACATGATTAACATCTACATACACTGAAGACAATGAGTCACGTTTCTGTATATCTTGGACTTTATGTACATGTATAACATCTACATACACTGCAGACAGAGAGTCACGTGTCTGTATATCTTGAAAGTTTTTACACATGTATTACATCTACATACACTGAAGACAAAGAGTCACGTGTCTGTATAGCTTGAACCATTTACACATGTATAACATCTACATACACTTCAGACAAAGAGTCACGTGTCTGTATATCTTGAACTTTTTGTAAATGATCAACATCTACATACACTTAAGACAAAGAGTCACGTGTCTGTATAGATTGGACTTCTTGTAAATGATTAACATCTACATACACTGCAGACAGAGAGTCACGTGTCTGTATAGCTTGGACTTTATGTACATGTATAACATCTACATACACTGCAGACAGAGAGTCACGTGCCTGTATATCTTGGACTTTTTACACATGTATAACATCTACATACACTGCAGACAGAGAGTCACGTGTCTGTATAGCTTCGACTTTTTGTACATGATTAACATCTACATACACTGCAGACAGAGAGTCACGTGTCTGTATAGCTTCGACTTTTTTTACATGATTAACATCTACATACACTGCAGACAGAGAGTCACGTGTCTGTATAGCTTGAACTTTTTACACATGTATAACATCTAAATACACTGAAGACAAAGAGTCACGTGTCTGTAAAGATTGGACTTTTTGTACATGTATAACATCTACATACACTGCAGACAGAGAGTCACGTGTCTGTATAGCTTGGACTTTTTGTACATGTATAACATCTACATACACTGCAGACAGAGAGTCACGTGCCTGTATAACTTAGACTTTTTGTACATGATTAACATCCACTTACACTGAAGACAAAGAGTCACGTGTCTGTATAGCTTTGACTTTTTGTACATGTATAATATCTACAAACACTGAAGACAATGAGACACGTGTCTGTATGGATTGGACTTTTTGTACATGATTAACATCTAAATACACAGAAGACAATGAGTCACGTGTCTGTATAGATTGGACTTCTTGTACATGATTAACATCTACATACACTGAAGACAATGAGTCACGTGTCTGTATATCTTGGACTTTATGTAAATGTATAACATCTACATACACTGCAGACAGAGAGTCACGTGTCTGTATATCTTGAAAGTTTTTACAGATGTATTACATCTACATACACTGAAGACAAAGAGTCACGTGTCTGTATAGCTTGAACATTTTACACATGTATAACTTCTACATACACTTCAGACAAAGAGTCACGTGTCTGTATATCTTGAACTTTTTGTAAATGATCAACATCTACATACACTTAAGACAAAGAGTCACGTGTCTGTATAGATTGGACTTCTTGTACATGATTAACATCTACATACACTGCAGACAGAGAGTCACGTGTCTGTATAGCTTGGACTTTATGTACATGTACAACATCTACATACACTGCAGACAGAGAGTCACGTGTCTGTATATCTTGGACTTTTTACACATGTATAACATCTACATACACTGAAGACAAAGAGTCACGTGTCTGTATAGCTTGAACTTTTTACACATGTATAACATCTACATACACTGAAGACAAAGAGTCACGTGTTTGTATAGCTTGAACTTTTTACACATGTATAACATCTAAATACACTGAAGACAAAGAGTCACGTGTCTGTAAAGATTGGACTTTTTGTACATGTATAACATCTACATACACTGCAGACAAAGAGTCACGTGTCTGTATATCTTGAACTTTTTACACATGTATAACATCTACATACACTGAAGACAAAGAGTCACGTGTCTGTAAAGTTTGAACTTTTTACACATGTATAACATCTACATACATTTAAGACAAAGAGTCACGTGTCTGTATAGCTTGGACTTTTTGTACATGGTTAACATTTACATACACTGCAGACAAAGAGTCACATGTCTGTATATCTTGGACTTCTTGTACATGATTAACATTTACATACACTGAAGACAAAGAGTCACGTGTCTGTATAGCTTGGACTTTTTGTACATGTATAACATCTACATACACTGCAGACAAAGAGTCACGTGTCTGTATATCTTGGACTTCTTGTACATGATTAACATCTACATACACTGAAGACAAAGAGTCACGTGTCTGTATAGCTTGGACTTTTTGTACATGGTTAACATTTACATACACTGCAGACAAAGAGTCACATGTCTGTATATCTTGGACTTCTTGTACATGATTAACATTTACATACACTGAAGGCAAAGAGTCACGTGTCTGTATATCTTGGACTTCTTGTACATGATTAACATCTACATACACTGAAGGCAAAGAGTCACGTGTCTGTATATCCTGGACTTCTTGTACATGATTAACATCTACATACACTGAAGGCAAAGAGTCACGTGTCTGTATATCTTGGACTTCTTGTACATGATTAACATCTACATACACTGAAGACGCACATTGAACAAAGGGTGTAAAACAGAGCTACTTTAATAAAACTTGGGATACATGAGCGTTAGGTCGACTGAGTTCACCTCACTGAAATATGTCCTACTGGTACAGAAATAATGCCCGGTTGACATGAGACAAAGGTCATCTGTCACACATCTCGCCGTGACTGCCCAATAAGGGCGAGAAGATCGGTCACTCATCGTGTATGTTTATTTATTGGTGTCACAAGAAAGAGATGGGATGATATATGAATCCCTTGCCTGCAACACGTTTCAATATTAATCTGAATATGATTGAGAGTAAATTCGGGAATCAATGATAGATTTGTGTGTTCAGTCATGTTTCGAAGATGTCGAGATGGTTGCTTTAACAAGCTAAGTGGTGGTAGTGCATGAAACAAATTCACTGTGGTCAGATGTGGAAGACATTTCTAGAGAACATGTCATTCATTCGTTTCAGGGCAAATCCACGGGACCTAAATTACGTTGCTGTCCGTAACAGCAGTTTACAGCCCAAACCCAAGATTGCGTCGTTGTTTTTAGTATTGTCCAACCTGTTTTAAATAACAATAATGTGACATGTTATTGGTGACTGGTTCTTTTGCTGTCCTTTTTTGACAGGAATGTACATACTATCAAGACATAAAGCGTGTACACCTGCTCTAGACACAAAAAGCTAAAATACTGCCTCCTGCCAATGTGACATTTAAACTCACTCACTTCAGGGCAAATGACAATTTTGATTGCAGTCTTATTTGTCATAATCTACAGATAGATATATATATATATAGTAAGTGTTTCTAAAAGGGAGTTGATATTGTTTCTAGGTTTCATTTCCGAACAGGTAACATTTTAAAGAAATATGTTTTAGTTACAAATATATATTTTCCAACGTTTATATTAATATACACGTTGCAATAAAGTTTGTTTCTTATAAATTGACACAGCTGCGGTTCTGCTGTTTCTCCTACTCGTTGCTTTGATGCATATTCTTTTGATTGGTGACATTTATTATGTCATTATACGTTTATGATTAAAGCGTAATGATTTAGTAGACCAAACAATGATTGGCCGGTGTTTTAATATCTCATTATCCCCGGGGCAGTCGCGGCCAACCTGGTGTGACGTAACAATCAGGGAAGTTCACACGGCCCTTTACAATCTCACATTCAGTTGAGGAAGTGATTGTGATAAATTCAGTAACTCATATGTTACCTTTATCAATAGAATGTCAGCATCCATTGTGACATAATCTGTCTCCTGCCCCTTGATTGGAGGAAGAGTCACACCCTCGTAATAACAAATATTCGAGTTCAAGTATGTAAAGTACCCTGGTCATAATCAACCATCACTTGTCTTTCACATTTCTCAATCAGTTAATCAACATGTTTGGAAGAACATTGTCCCGTTGTGTTGCCACCGTGCTTGTTTCCATGGCAACGGCTCAAAGTCAACAAGGGATGTCCCCGTGTCAAAATAACTTTGTTCAAAACCTCAACACCTGTGTTCAAAATAGTCAGATGGACTTTAATAACTTTTTATACTTGTTGACAAACGGGACAAACGGACAAGCACCCGACAGTCCCAACACGTTCAGACAAGATGCTTGTAGCAAGCAGGAGGCGTTGCTTCAGTGCGGTGTGGAATTCATGAGGACATTGATCAACTCTACGATGTGTGCCCCGAGCCAAACACAACAGGATCAGAGACCCCTCATCGACAGACAGTTCCGTTCCCTCTTCGGATCTCTGGACGCGATGTGCGCACACCCATGTCGCCGAACTCTCACGGAGGATCTACGTCAGTGTTATGTTGACGCCAACCTTGACCCCACCCTCTTCCTCTCCAACTCCACCATGGGCCGCGGCGCCATCATCGGGACCACAGCGGATCAGGCCGACACCTTCTGTAAGAACAAAGACTATCTCGTGACATGCATGAAACAGAACAGAGACGACTGTCCTGAATCTCCCATGATTCTCCGCGCCATCGGCCTTGACATTGAATCTATGGACAAAGGTGTTGGAGTACTGTGCGCTCACCCTGACGTGTACCTCAACGGAATCGACTGTTTCGCGGAACCCACAGACGCTGTTGTGTCGTGTCAGCAGACAATGAACCAGAAGACCATTGAGTTGATGATGTCGGCAGAACAACAGAACCTCCAGGAGGACCAGTTCTTCAACAGATTCTGTGACGTCCGTCTGGAGCACGTCAGCTGTGATCTGGAAGCCTGGAGCAAAAAGAACCACAAGTCTTGTTCGGATGCCGTCATTGGTTTGAGGACGGAGTTGGAGTGTGGTCTTCTTCCAGACAACTGTGGTACAACTCACAAACAGACCATTGACAAGGTCTGTAACCATGAAAACTTTAAGAAGGACATAAGACCTTTTAATAGCGCTCCCACAGTTTCAGCAACAGTGAGAACAATGTCAAGTTTGACACTACTCTTTCTGTTCCATTTTCTGTGACTCAAAGCTTCACCCAAATGTAGATATTCAATGTACATTTGCATTATATTTGTTTATCTTACGCATTTAGCTGTTTTTAGCGTCATTTTGTTGTACAAGATGAGAAATTTAATAAATTATGCTTAACATTCGTCAATATTTGCCAACTATGGAGTTTACACACAGTAAACAGGAGAAACCCGGAGGACAAAGTAGGCGCGTATAAACCTTGTACTGACAATAGTCTAACGCTGATCATGTTCAAGTAATTATTCAGCAATGTATGAACTGGTAAATGAAAATGTGAGTGCTGCTGCTGTCAAATTATCGGAGTTGTTCCATCTTGCTTGATCGCATTTTGAAAGACCGAAAAAGCAAGAAATAATAATTGCAATTTTGATAAAAACAGCCTATATGGTTGGACAACGAAGGCAGAGAATTAAGAGGGGTGAGCTTCCGAGTAATACCAGAACTATTCACGAGTTTCATAAAATTGGTATTTTACGGGAGCGACTTTAGTATTTTATTTATTACTTGCCGTTTATAACCTTCATAGAATTTCATGGTCGTGTTTGAATAGGCCGACATCTACGCGATCTACAGCATAATCCAATTGAGTTTAACATATTAATACTTCAAACAGGTCAAAAGATGATACTTATTAATTTCATATCTTACCCCGGCCCACCTTTTGAAAAGAGGGGTCCCTCTCACTAAAGCTATCTTAGTACTAAAGGTTATCCATAACTCCCATATACAAAGACGCGCGAGAGTCGTTGCGTTAGGATCGCAACGGGGCCCTTCACCATGAGGTTTACAATCACGTCACAATACCCCATGACGTAATTTGTGAGATTTTGTTGGAAGACAACTGGCGAAACTCTGCCATGTGACGTCAGTCTAGCAACAGAGTTGCTGAGGTCATCAAGTGCGCATAAGCCCCTCTCAGTGATCTATCATCTCGACACGCAATTTCGTTTAAGATGCCTAGGGATGTTGAGAGTTTTCAAAATTTGTACGTGAAACTTGTTCCCGCAATTCATAAGAAGGCGCTTTGGTATTACATACTGTGTAATGGATGTATGATTATTAAACGAGTGATCTCTTCACGGGCAAGTAATACAAAATCTTACATCATTCTCCTCCATAAGTCAAGGAATAACCAAACTCTGAACCTTTACATTGAAGTCAAATACATTTTAGGAAGAAATGTAGGGGAAATAAAATTTTTTTAACAAAGATGCTATTGAGAACGTCAACTTGGGTATTACTTCGAGAGATTGTAAGACATTTTCGAAGTCGTTACCTCAGAGTAAACGTAGTGAAATGGGTATTTCACCTTGAACATGAACAACATATTTTAAGGACTTGCAATGTACTGATATTCATGGCTGTGTTTAACAGTCAGAATTGTGTCCGAGAGTTCTCCAAATGACCTGCATGTGCTTGTGTCTGTACACATCATCCGGAGTATCATCATAAAGTCCACAACAAATACAGTAGACTTGTGAGAGGGAGGCAGATTGTCAACAGCATGATCCTTTTCCATCCAGGTCACTGTCATGGCTTTTGTAGCCTTGCGCATGATTCCATGAAGGTTACATAAAGACAGAGGAACGGGTGTCAGCTCATATTGCAGAATATCCATGATATTAATGTCTCTTGATTGTTCCAACACTTTTTAGTTTGCTGAATATCTGTCGATCAATGTTCACTTGTTGAGTTGCTGCTTTTTTGCTACAACAGGCTTGTTCAGACATGAGAAAGTTTGAACTTTGGGCCTTTTCATCGCAGCAAAGAAATCTGTCTGTGAGGAATGAAGTCTTGATGGGAGGAATCTGTCCATTCCTTCAACACTTTCACCTCTGATGTTGCACAAATGGAAAGAAATGTCTTCAGGTACCACAGTTGAAGTAGCAATATTCACAAGCGGACAGGTTCCACAGTAAATGAATTGATAATTTTTTCATTCACTGTTCTGACAGCCTCTTGAATGGCAGCTTCATCTATATCCATCCTCGATAAGCTTCCTTCGTTGTGAATAACGGACTTGTGGTGTTCTTGGCTACCAGACATCTGTTGCACGGCTGCTTTGACTTGAGCTATAAGATGAGCAATGAGATAATATTTGTTCAGAGCTTTTTCAGATGTGTACAGATGACTATCCTTACACCTCTGTTGTAGGCTTCCCCCTTCATCATATGACACACAACAGATGGCCCATACAGACTGGATTCTACGAAGATATATTCAGAAGCCGCAGTCCTGAATCACATGTCATTCTTTAACCAACAATTTTAGAAGATATGCTGGAATTGTTTCATCATGGTGTAGACAGTCCTGAAGTCAACATCAGGAGATGGAGATGAAATCATTGGACAGTACCCAATACTGGTCTTCTTGACATTGATGTTCTCTGTGATTATGGCACGGTATACAGCCCAAGAAGGATTCTTCTGATCCTTAAGAGGAATGAATTTGATGGGAAATCCTTTGATGAGAAACAACGCCTCTTCCTTTGCTCTCATGTTGTGATGTTGACTGATCACTCGTGAAACCAATTCACTTGGATATTTCTGAGAGGGTGCTTTGATCCAGCCATCTTTCCAGTCATGTTTGGGCACTACAGTATTTTAGCAGCTTTGAAATCTTTGTTGATAGTTCTAAATCTTACACTCTTTACATCCTGCAGAATTGCACCAAATGAACCTTGGTTCTGAGAATAGATTTGATATAACACCATATTTACAACATCATGATGTATCCAGTCAAGAGATTCTGTGGCTCGATTGTAGTTGTTTCCAGCACCAGGTGGCACGTTCCCTTCAACCATATTGGCTAGTGCAAAGATATCTTGAGACATTTGGATTTCCGCCCATTTAGTGTTGATTCTTTGGATCTCATCATAGCTGATCTCCCAAACCATGCTTATTGACAGGCAGGACGACCTCCTTGGATTGAGTTTGACATTTCCCTTTAGAAGCCATGCACGTGATATCTTTTACATTTTTCGTAGGAACTTTCTCAAGTGCAGGTGAAGTTGGCTTGGTGGCCAGCAGGCAGTGGAGAAAAGCATACATCTCAATTGGAATCATGTCCTCACAATTCTTCTCTGATATGTCGTAGGGATATAGAGGCTGGTGATTAATGCCATCATTTGTCTTCCCTAGTGACCGAAGGATTAGTGCTGAATGATGCAATGCCAGGTGTGAAGAGGACTCTTGGACACTGCCTTGAGATAAAATATCTTGTTTGATCTGATTTTCCCTTAAGGTTGACTGTAGACGTATAGACTTTATGACATCTTGCAGTTGCAGTGACTTACTGAAGATAAATTTAAAGGGGCACTGATCTAACGCAGTTCCTCGGGACTGGTTGTTGCCTTTGTTATTGTTTTTTCCCAGTGCGTACCCGGATGTATAGCAGAAATCTAGACTAGTTCGCGACCTCTGCTGCGCCATTCGTAAGCGCATTAGTCACTTTTATGGGTAGTAATAAAGGCGTATGGTCACATTGATCAACAAAATGAAATACAGTTTTAGAGATAATAAGGAAATGTAGGTATCTTTGTGTGTAGCATCGGTAATGGTGACGAAGTTTTGATAAGTCACTTGCTTGGTAATTTTGCGATTTTCGTTTACACTATTTTGACTTGCAACACAAAGTAAATATTTCACCTGAGCATTGCTTTTTTTATTGTGTGTACATTTTTTTAAGGGTCAAAATGTGTAACATTTCCAAATTTATTAAACGCCTAAATATTCAGTTATTTTACAAAGTGACATTTCCATCTGTATTTCCATCTGTATTATTATGATAACGAATTCCAAACATTTTGATGTTTAATGTCATCACCAAGAGACTGAAAATGTTACGTTGAAAAGTACATTTCTATGTTGTTTGGCTTCTAATCCTACATAATAATCTGTTGTGATGTTTGTAGGCCCTTTTACGTCTAAATCAATCTGGACAGATTTTATAGTCAAAATGACTTAAATATTTACACATTTTATAAATTGCCTGAGAGAATCACATATTACAAATTGACGGTAATATATACACGCTTACAAAGGAAAAGACTTGTGAAAACAACGTCTATCGCGCATTGAAAAATTTTCCAACCAAGACGTAGAGAAACAAGGACGAATCGGTTCAATGCTACAGCAAATGAAGGAATACAAAATGCAAATACCATAATTACAACCTACCAAATTTAGCTTCCTTGTTCGGGGAATGTATCCTTGAATATCCACATAAACGAACAATATCCCACTCGTCTGCAGCTGTACAAAGAAACTTATTCGATGTCACGTGTCTCTGTAACAATCAAATATTTTAAAAGATATCGTTTCGGGATATTATAACCAACCATCTCGGCTTGGACACTCGCCCCGTGCAGACTTGTCCTTCCTAGCTCGCAACCCACGCTCTACCATGAGAGATATCGCTCTATCGCTACCTAGGGAGCTAGTTGCCATCCTGGAGCCCTTGCTGGCTTACAGGGTAGGGGACTACTCGCTCCGGACTTCGTACAAGTCCAACTCATCCACCCTCTCCATCTCCTTTGACCTAGGCCAAAGGAAAAGGCCTCTGGTGCAGTACTGGGGTGAAGAAAGATTTGAGCACGAGATTCACAGCTACCAGGATCTTTCGGAATTCCTGGTTGACTGTGATCTCCCAGTCAGTCCACTCTACATCACAAACGCCGCCGCCCGCCTCACCACCGCACTGTTCCGAGCTCTTCCTCCCGGAGAGCTCGACCTAGCCAGGAGGCTCCTGGCTGGGAAGAAGCAGTAACTCGCCACACCAGCTCGCCAGCCGACGCATTGCCTTCCCACTGTGCAAGATAACAGTGATTAATCAATCAACGTATTTTCTGTTTATCCTTTGATGACTAGGAACGATTCGTTGATTTACCAAAAAAAGTAAATCAACTGATCATTCACCTCTTGCTGGTCTGCCACGTGCATATTACATAACACACATTTCACCTCACTTCCAACCTGGATTTAGATTGAATAATTACCCCAGACACAATAAATGCCAAATGGGAACCTTTGTCAGGTAATCTAAGTGGTGCTACCACTAATTGTACCTGTAATAAATTCATTAACTGAG